CAGCTCTTCAGCTCAAGGCTAGCGCTCTACCACTTGAGCCACAGCACCACTTCTGGCTTTTTTCTTTTTGCTTATGTGGTGCTGAGGAATCGAACCTAGGGCCTCAGGCATGCAAGGCAAGTGCTCTACCACTGACCCACCTTCCCAACCCCCATATTCTGCTTTTAAAAACATACAAAATTGTTTACACATGTTCTGAGCCGAGCTTATGGGGGACTTTTTTCCTTTGTTTTAGGAAGATTCAAAAAGTGAAGCAAGCATAAAAATCAGATCGATGTCTGCCAGTATCCACTGGAGACTGTGACTGAATTTTCAGGGGTGAGAAACCACACACCCAAAGCCTGAGAGATCATTTGGTACATGATGCAGTCTGTATGCCTATATTGATACTTTGGCATGATCTGTGCGTGGTTATAAATACTCAAATGGCCCTAGGCAGAAAAAAGTTTCCCTGACCCTGCAACAGATCAAATTCTGCAAATGAAGCCCTAAAAAAGTGGCACTTTAAATCTTACTCTCCACTTGCTGATCACTGAGTAATCTTTCAATGGAAATAACAAAAGAGAGTAAGTAGCTGGAGTCTTACCCTGGGTAAGTTACTCACCCAATGTTTCCAAGGTGATTTTGAACGGTGAAAGGTAATGGAACCAAAGGATAATATGCTGAGACTGACAAAGTTAACTCAAACTTTGCAAATGCTACAGAGCTGGAGAACAAAAGCTTCAATCTGCAATATAAAAGCAGATGTAAACAGGAGCACACTTTGGTTATGCAGAGGGATTGTAAACTTATCTCTATTTCTTATCAAATGGGACGTAAATGGAAAGATACTCTAATGGTTGAGTTTTTATTGTTGTCAAAGTTCTTCAATAATTGCATATTATTATGAGTTGAAATATATCCCCTCCAAATTATATGAGGTGCTAACCCCTAGTATCTCAGAAGTGACTTCTATGTGGAAAATAGATCACTGAAAATTTAATTAAGATGAGGATCAAGCACAAGGCAGTCCCAGTACTGCCCTCCCATAAAAGATAGAAAAATGAGGTTCTGTTGGAGTAGGGTAGGGCTTCATTCTGACTGGAGTTATAAAGCAGAAACAGACATAACTTATGAAAGAATACCATAGGAACATGAAAGATATCATGTGCATTTACAAGTCAAGGAATACTGAGTCTTGCCAGTATACTACCGGGAGAGAGGGGATTCTGGTTGCACTCCTTAGAAACCAACCTCACTTGGGCTGGGAATGTGGCATAGTGGTAGCATGCCTAGCATGCATGAAGCCCTGGGTTTGATTCCTCAGTACCACATAAACAAAAAAGGCTGGAAGTGGTGCTGTGGCTCAAGTGGTAGAGTGCGAGCCTTGAGCACAGAGAGGCTCAGAGACAGTGCCCACATCCTGAGTTTAAGCCCCAGGATTGGCCAAAGAAAAAAAAAAAAGAAAGAAACCAACCTCACTCACACCCTGACCTCAGATTTCTTGCCTCCAGAACTGTGAGACAACAAATTTCTTCTGCTTAAGCTTCCCAGGAAACTAATATACTTACTCAGAATGCTTCACATCTATGTACATTAGGTTGTAATTTGGTCCCCATCTCTTTAAAAATTCAATCTCCTCCCCAAGGAGTCGGCAATGGTTCACAACCAGTGAGAGTTCATGAAGCATCTAAGAATAGACCAAAACAATGAAAAAATTATGAAAGCATTTCAATGTTTAATAGCCCAGTTATAACATCAAAAGTTTAAACAGGGGGCTGGGAAGGTGGCTCAGTGGTAGAGCGCTTGCCTTGCATGCCTGAGGCTCTGGGTTCGACTCCTCAGCACCACATAAGCAAAAAGAAAACAGCCAGAAGTGGTGCTGTGGCTCAAGTGGTAGAGCGCTAGCCTTGAGCTGAAGAGCTGAGGGACAGTGCCCAGGCCCAGAGTTCAGGCCCCACGACCGGACCAAAAAAAAAAAAAAAAGTTTAAACAAGTAATATTTCAGGACATTATTTTATGTGTAGAATTTCAGTTTTGCTTATAGGGAAACATACCATCCAATTTCCTTTAAATATGCCTATCAGATTTTACCTGGGGTATTTGATGCTGGGTTATGCATTTCTTCTTCCAGGATTCTTGTTCCTCAATATACTGAAAAATGAGCTCATGAACTAAAAGGGAGGAAGGGGGAGCTTTATCCTCTGGAGAAAAAAAAAAAATCAAAACCAGGTTATTAGTATTTATATGTCTTATATAAGGTAAGAATACTAGGCCACATAAGCAAGAAATGCCTCAAAGTACTTAAGTTCTCCTTGAGTTTTGTTTTCAAAAGTAAGTAGAATATTGTAAATATAAGGTGCTCCTAGAAACCCTGAAGCCTAAACATGCAGAACTGCATTTGGTTAAAAGGGAGGGTTTAAAAGTAACATAAATCTGAGTTCAAAATCCTGGTTTTCATGATGCCAAAATTGATTCAAAGCAAAACACTTAATTTTTGATTCTCTATTTATGTAACTCTTAAAGTAGAAAATAAGACCTACCTCATAGGATTGATACAAACAGTACACATGCCTGATACAGACCAAGCAGTCATAATAGTAATTTTCAAACACGAAAACACATTATTATTCACGGCTTAGGATCGGGTAATTAATTAATTAATTAATTTTGTCTGTCATGCCTGAACTCTGGGCCTGGGTGCTGTCCCTCTACCACTTGAGCCACAGCACCACTTCTGGCTTTTTCTGCTTATGTGGTGCTGAGGAATCGAACCCAGGACTTCAGGGGTACAAGGCAAGCACTCTACCACTGTGCAACCTTCCCAGCCCTGGTAATAATTTTTAAAAGTAATTTCTTTAAAAATCTACCCAGGAAGCCAGGCTTGGTGGCTCCTGCCTGTAATCCTAGTATTTGTGTTTGTTTTGTTGGTCCTGGAGCGTAAACTCATGGCCTGGGTGCTGAGGCAGTTTTATGCCTAAATCACACTTTACCATTATTTGTTTACATTTAATTTAGTATGTGAACACTGAATGTTTTACTGGCTGTGGGTGCCACCTCACCATGCAACTATGAAGAAAGTGTGGAGACTCAGAAGGTCAGGACAGGCTCCCAAGCACTTGCAACTGAGGTTACTGTCTTCGATTGTAACAATTATACATATTTGATATTTCAGACAAGTTTAGTATTTCTCTGTCCACTTTTTATAAGCTTTAAAATGATTTTTGTCTGCCTTGAGAATTACATCAAGAAAAAGCACCTCTCTTCACCTAAAAGCTCTGAAGACTAGAGACATACTTCCCACGTTTAACAAGGGTGTTGCATCCACATTTGGTAGCAACAGTTGTTGAGTTAACAAGAAAATCAATTATTGCATTTGGTCTGGATGGATTTTATTTTATTTATTTATTTTTGTCGGTTGTGGGGCTTGAACTCTGGGCCTGGGCACTGTCCCTCAGCTCTTCAGCTCAAGGTGAGCGCTCTACCACTTAAGCTACAGCGCCACTTCCGGTTTTCTGGTGGTTTATTGGAGATAGGAGTCTCACAGTCTCTCCTGCCCGGGCTGGCTTTGAACCGCGATCCTCAGATCTCAGCCTCCTGAGTAGCTAGGATTACAGGCGTGAGCCACCAGCGCCCAGCTTGGATGGATTTTAAAAGAACATAATGTTCCATATTCAAAAGATAATTAACATTCGCCACCATAATGTTCTTTTTTATGTAAAAGGAGCAAGAACTTGGAGACATTAACATGCAAAAGTCTTTTATCATTAGCTCATGTATTTGAGAAAGAGCAGCTGTCTTTTTATATGTTTTTTGACAAATCATATTGTAATTCTTTTGTACAAAAAAGAACTACTTGTATTCTAGAAGAAATATGAAATGCTTAATTTATAAGCGGGCTGGAGATTTTTTCCAATATTGTTTTCTTTGAAAATGAAAGGGGGATCATCTATTATAGTTTTGGGGTCTGGGAACTTTTTGAAAATTTTAATTTGTGGACCAATGTTTTGTGAAAGCTAAGGATGGGCAGGGGCAAAATAGGGCTTGAATCTCTCACTTTGCATAGACCAGCACACTTCCCTCTGCAAACCCGAGAACGTCTGCACCACAAACTCTAGTTTGCTTTGGCCCCTGTAACCTCAGGACTTGGCTTGAATATGAAAGATAGACAGCTGATATGTTTTCGTTGCATAAATATTGTCAGCCAGAAAACACTTGGTGTCAGGTAATGCATATTTTTTTAGCTTTGTTTTATATTTATTTTTCATTTAGTTTTTATTGGGAATGGTTTTCAAAAGAATTCTCAGTTCTGCTTAGGTGTTTTTTGGGGA